CATCTTTCTCTCAGAGCATGGGGAAGTCTCTCACCACTCACCATCTCTCCCTCAGAGCATGGGGAAGTCTCTCAACCCTCACCATCTTTCCCTCAGAGCATGGGGAAGTCTCTCACCCCTCACCATCTCTCCCTCAGAGCATGGGGAAGTCTCTCACCACTCACCATCTCTCCCTCAGAGCATGGGGAAGTCTCTCAACCTTCACCATCTTTCCCTCAGAGCATGGGGAAGTCTCTCAACCCTCACCATCTCTCCCTCAGAGCATGGGGAAGTCTCTCACCTTCCGAGGAGCGGTGTACGAAGCGACGGACAAGCTCCGCCGCCATAGGTGTAGAGACCCGCTGTGCGACACACACATCTGGAAGGTGAAGCACGAGCTGGACATGGCCAGGATGAGGATCAAGCACTTGGAGAAGGAACTGGAGGCTAATGGCGTCAAACCCTCGCTCAAAAAGCAGCATCTCCAAACTGGAAGGTAAGAAAGCATTTCCAGGCCTTCGTCGAGAGGTTAGGGCAAGGCCTGAGGGGAAGGGAGCATCGAGGTAGTAGTAGTAGTAGTAGGGTAACTCACTTGGATTTAGAGCTGTAAGGACGATTCAACTGGGATAGATCCAGGTCAGGAGGTAACATCAGAAATAAAAATCCTGGAAAAGGTATATGTTTATTTAATATTTGGAAGAAAATGGAAAGCTTTCGTGAAGAAACAGCTGGAAAGGTGAGACTGGAGTCGAACTGGGAATGTTATAATAAGTTATACATACTGCAGGTGTTGTATCATAGATCATACACAAAGGTATACAGGAATTGGGAGGCATTAGTCACGTATAAGAAGGCGATGAGTCACAATAACGTGGCTGAAGAATGTTGACCAGACCACACACTAGAAGGTGAAGGGACGACGACGTTTCGCTCCGTCCTGGACCATCCTGGAATGGTCCAGGACGGACCGAAACGTCGTCGTCCCTTCACCTTCTAGTGTGTGGTCTGGTCAACACGTTTCAGAAACATCAGCGTCGCGCTGGAAAGCAAGAAATGTTAAACATCTTGCAAGGAATACATCAGGTTATTAGTTCATGTTACAGGTACTCACCTATTTGTGCTTGCGGGGGTTGAGCTCTGGCTCTTTGGTCCCGCCTCAGGTGTTATTTATTTATGGTGGTTGGCGTTACTGATACCAAGTGACAGGGGTATCAATACCAGCTGTGGACCAGGAGATGTTTTAGATTTAGCTACTCAGAAGGAAATGTCCATGTAGCACGGGCTATGGCGAGCCCGTATAAGGTGAGGAGATGACAGTGACTGGCTATATACTAGAAACACTGTTCCTTTCCTACTTTAATACATTGAAAATACCGCCGTACGTCTTAGAACGCTTCAGGTAAGCCCAAAACACTTAAGGAACCATTCTACTGTTGTGGTCAGACTAGTGTTAATTGATTGTTATTTTTCCTGTTAACTTTGCATATCCTTAAATTAAATTCGATTTCATTTGATCTTCGTTTGTTTGTTTGTCTTGAAATGCAGCCTAATGTATTTGTGTCTTATTTTGAGTTTGTTGAGTGTGTTTGTTCTTGTGCTGTGGCCAATGGGGTTGAAGGAGACAGGTGTAGGCTCCTCCTACTTGAAGTAGTAGCCAATGGGCGTCAGTTTTTAGTCCTCAAGAATGCTTGCGTGCATCACCTGCCAGCCAATCACAAACGAGATGAATCAGTGACTTCCAAAAGGCATGATTAGTTGGGAAATATTATTATATTTAATGTTATCTTTACTGCCTGACTTTATAAGGAATATATATATATATATATATATATATATATATGACCGCATATATATATATATATATATATATATAGCATATATATATATATGGCCACTTTGGGCTCCACGATGTGTTGGGGATTTATTAATTTTTTTTGCTTGTACATTTTTTTTTTTTACCACTCTTTACAAATGTGTGTGTAGATATATGTAGAATATATACTCGTGTATGCAAATAGTATTTGTCTTTGTCTGTACTTGTTTGTTCTTGTTGTCTGTATATAAGTTTGTGATTTACGTCTCGTATAACATTGCCACTATTATAATCATTTAGTTTGGAGTCTTTTAAGTCACTGTTATACTGAATGGATCAATTAAATATCCAATATTCTCCCATTTTTTAAGCAATTTTTGCATTTATTTAAATATTTTTTTGCCTTAAGGGTGACATATTGACCTCCGGATGTATTCAGTTTGAATACATCTTTTTAAATATTTTTTTTACTCTTTTTCTAAGTCTTAAAGACGATTTTTTACGCTTTTGTGGGGGTCAAGATGCTTAAATTATTGTGCTTCGGGCAGCATGTCGTCGCCTGCTGCCGCTTTGGCGCCATTTTCGTGTCGTATACACTTTCAGCTGTATTCAAAATTCTTATTTTGTAACATGAGTGGACGGCAGTCAGTTCTTTGTACTTTAGTTCTGAAATCTTGTAATCTAGTCCCAAAATTAAATAATAATAATAAATAAAACATAAATAGTCTAGCAACGGAACGGTCTTGCCATTTTGAGTTATGAATACTTTTTGTTATTTGTTTTGGCTGTCATTGTTGCTGTTGTTGTTGGTTGTTTGGTCTAACATCTGTCATGCGAAATGGTTCTCTGTTGAGCAGAACAGTTTTGTCTTGTTCTCTCCATTTTGTACTGTTACTTGTACCCTTGTTGCACTGACTTTGGTAACCGGATAAACAGCGCCACTTAAATATATATATATTTTAGGCGTCTTGTTAGTGTTATATTCGGTGATCTTAAAATATTAATTCTTTATTATTAATTCTTCTTTGTGTTTTAAATAGAGGAAAACATTGGGGGGTTAAAAAGTGGCCGTTTTATGGTTTATTTAATTCTTTTTTAAACGTTGATTCTTTTTTATGATTGATTTTATCCTTTTTGTAGTGAAATGTGTTTCCGTTGAACTGATCTGTATGTGTCAAGCGGCCTATTACTAATTTATAGCTAAGCTGACAGTATAATATGTTAAAGAGAACTTGTTTTCTCTTTGAACTGATCCCATTCTTTTTCTTCATAATTTTTTTCCGTATGAACTTTTTTTTTTTTTTTTGCAGGGAAATTCCTGCGTGGGCCCTAAACCTCTGGCTGGCCCATTAAATTCGTATGAACTGATTTTTGTCCAAATTTAACCTACTTGTTCACAGCTTAACTGACCATTTTTCCAGTTTAACGGATTTTTTCCGCAGTTTAAATTATTTTTTTCGTTGAATGACAATTTTTCCCCAGTTTAACCGGTTGTTGACAGTTTACCTGGCTTATTTTCCCCTTGAACTAGCTTTTCAAAGTGTGAACTTGTTTTTTTTTTTGTCGAAAGTGAGTGAATTTTTTCTTTCATTTGTTGCACTGAACTTTTGTTTCTATTTGAACTGAGTTTGTTCCCCTTCCTTAAACTTAATATTATTTCCAATTTACGCAAAAAAAAAAAAATTCCCCCATTCGCACTGTAATTTTTTTTCTTTGTTAGTTGGAAGTTTTCTTGCAAGTATTTTGTTTGTGTTTGTTCTCAAGTGTCTTGAGATAATTTTGATTCTCCCTCGTGTTTTTGCTATTTTGTTTTTAGTTCTTTAATAGGTAGATTTTTTTTTAGTCTTAATCATCCTTATTCTAATCACTTTACCGAACAACGACCCCAATCCCCAATCCTAGTCTTGATCCTGATCCCACGTCTGATTGGTAGAGTGGATCAGACCTGAGTTCGATACCCGATATATATATATATATATATATATATATATATATATATATATATATATATATATATATATATATATATATATATATTTCTATCCCTCTTTAACTCATATTATCACCCCCTATTTTATTATTTCTGTCTCAATTTAAAATTCATTTCCTTATTTTATTAATATGTCTGGCCCTATTTTATTAACGTTCCGGTCCTTATCTTATCCATGATTCCTCTCGCCATTTTATTAATATTTCCCTCCCTATGTTGTACATATTGATGTCCCTATTGGATTAATATTCAAATCCCTATTAATCTTACTTCCCCCTATTTTATTGTTTCCGTCTCTACGTGTTTAATGTTCCTGTCCCTATTTTATTTAAGCTCCTATTTTATTGATATGTCATCTGATATTAATATTTTTGTCCCCCCATTTTATAAACATTCCTGTCCATATTTTATTGTCCTATTTTCTATTGTTTACCCCCTATTCCCATTCCCTACAGCCAGTCCCATTTCCCAATTCCTTCCTCAGTCTTCTATAACCATCACTAACGACTGTATTGTTTACAATGCCAAGCTAATTGGCCTGAGAACGCTTTGTTTCATTAGAAAATTATTTGTTTGCCTGTTACAGTGCTCCGGTACATTGTTTACAAGCCAGGGTACGGTTGTTTAAGCCTGACTTAGTTATTACTTAGTTAATCCTGACTTAGTTAATACTGACTTTTGCATATCTGACTCATAGGGGTCTAATCCTGACTTAGTTAATACTGACTTTTGCATATCTGACTCATAGGGGTCTAATCCTGACTTCAGTTAATACTGACTTTTGCATATCTGACTCATAGGGGTCTAATCCTGACTTAGTTAATACTGACTTTTGCATATCTGACTCATAGTGGTCTAATCCTGACTTCAGTTTTGTTAATCCTGACATTAGTTGTTTAAGTCTGACGTCAGTTGTTTAAGCCTTACTTAGTTAATCCTGACTTAGTTAATACTGACTTTTGCATATCTGACTCATAGGGGTCTAATCCTGACTTCAGTTTTGTTAATCCTAACATTAGTTGTTTAAGTCTGACGTCAGTTGTTTAAGTCTGACGTCAGTTGTTTAAGTCTGACGTCAGTTGTTTAAAATAGTGATTACTGACCTCTTTTATATCTCGCGTTAATTAACGACTCTGTTTTTTTATCTGTTAATTATACAATTTGCAGCCTTAATTAACTAGTTTACTTCTTAGTTGTTCGTGGCTTAATTGCCATTGAATACGTTGTTGTTTAATAGCCTCCAAACGTGTCTATAAATACAGTATTGTGTTTGTTTGAATAAATATGCAAGTTGTAAAAGCTCGATTGGTTAAATCAGTAATTCATTGGTTTGCTAGTCTCAGCATGTTTTCTAACCATTCATTTGTTTGCATTTGCTAGCACGTTAATTAAACCTCATTGGTCTCTTTTTTTTTCCTGTCTGAACAACCTGGTTGATTAACGACTGTCGGGTTGTTTATAGTTGAGAGCACGAACTGTTAATATGAGTTCTAATCTACTGCTTAACTATCGAATTGTGTACTGATTGTTTGCTTCTACTTTGGTGATAATTAGCTTTCAGTTGTTTGCAGTCAACACCTTCAAGCTGAAATAAATCCTGATTATTCCTGGTAAACAATAATATCCTACAATGAAACCAATAGACCAAAAAAAACTAAACTAAAAAATAAATATTAACAAAAGTAATGGCCAAAATTTATTTAAAATAAAATAAAAATATAAATAATAATCTCTAATAAAATAAATTTATAAATAATAATCTCTAATCAAATCAAAATTATACCTCCCTAATAAAAAAATAATGCTCTCCAAAAATGTTTTACAAACGCTCTTTAATGTATCCTACAACACCACTTCAAACTATCCTCCATCATTTCTCAAAATTATCCTTACAGGACTCCTTAAAACGTCCTGCAATAACCCTCCAAAATATAATTTAGTCGGCTTCAAAAATACACTACATCATCCCCCCCCTCCAAAATACCCTTTAATAGTTTTTCAGAATATCCTGCAATCTCTCTTAAAAATATTACACAACCCTACTTCTTGAAAATGTTCTTCAATAGCCCTCAAAAATATTTTCCAATAGCCTTCAAAATATTCTATAATCAGTTTTCTAAATATACAACTCCCTTCAAAATATCCCACAATCATTTTTCTAAATATACAACTCCCTTTCAAAATATCCCACAATCATTTTTCTAAATATATGTCATCCCTTCAGACATACAATCATGTGTCTAAATATACAACATTGCCTGTAATGTGTATATGCATGCCAGTGTATACAGTGTTCCTGTATCTAATTGTCTTCAAACATCTAAATGCACTCTTAATTGTCCTAGAATGTCTAAATTCACATAATTGTCTTCTGATATCTAATTTAAGTTAATTACTTTAGTGATAACTACCTTGTAACACTAACAAGCACCTGTATCTCTCTAACATCTACCTGTATCTCTCTAAGTTCTACCTGTATCTCTCTAAGTTCTACCTGTATCTCTCTAACATCTATCTGTATCTCTCTAAGTTCTACCTGTATCTCTCTAACATCTACCTGTATCTCTCTAAGTTCTACCTGTATCTCTAGCATCTACCTGCATCTCTCTAACATCTACTTGGCAATACAAATCTACCATCTACTGTACGTTCAACTATCCAATATCCGCTTTTCAATCTACCCACATCTACCTCTACACCGCCCACATCATCTTCCAGCCCTCTCACCATCTGCAACATCTACTTCCAATCCTACAACGTACACATCCAATCCTGCAAATATCTACTTTCAACCAAACACTTTCGCTCAGTTTGCAACATTCTAAAATCTAATTAGCATCTCTGTTATCATATACTTGAGCCGTCTAACAAGGTCAAACAGCCTTTCTAACAAGTGTCCTAAAGGTGTCCGTTGACAGCCTCTCTAACATCTACTTTTAGCCAGATAACATCTACCCATCTACTCCGATGTTGTCCCTCTACCACAATATCGGAGGTAGTAGCATATCTACCTGCAGATGTATGACATGGAACCTCATTGAGGTAATTGAAAGGTAGTTACCTTGGGCTTTCCTTAACTGTTAACATTTCCCCTAACATCTAACATTTCCCTAATATCTAATGATTATTACGCAACTCTCAAACATATGTTTGTTAGCAGTTAGTATGTGCTTGTTATCTTCTAACAGCTAACACACACAACAGTTCTTATCACTCAAATTGCAGCCCTCTTGCATCTGTCTGTTAATGCAAGCTAACTAACTACTTTCACTCCTTCTGTATCTACCAGCTGCACTTGCAAGTTGTTATCTTACATCTATTTGCAAGCAAAATCAACTATTGTCGGTCAAATTCTAATCTCACCCTACGCAAGTTCTAATCTCTAATGTGCATCTCTTGTTTCTTAGTCTCAAGTGTTTAAAAAGGTCTTGACAACCTTTTTAAGAACCTACTAACAACCCTCCCTTACCTGAGCATCCTTATCTAACTACCTGCAGCTTCTAACAATGCCTATTTCTAGCTCGCTAACAACCGGATTCCCCCTCTCAACTTGAGTAGTTCCTCTATCGTCCACGACGTCTTCACATATTCCATTCCTGTTTAACCTTTGGTCATCTTTGGGCAATCCCTATCAGTCACCAATAGGTCCTAACAATCCATCAATATCCTTCTAATGACCTCTATAACAGCCTTCGGACAGTACCTTAATCAGTCACCAGCAGGCCCCTAACAGCCCTCGGACAATCCCTAATCAGTCACCAGCAGACCCTTAACAGCCCTCAGACAATCCCTAATCAGTCACCAGCAGACCCTTAACAGCCCTCAGACAATCCCTAATCAGTCACCAGCAGACCCTTAACAGCCCTCGGACAATCCCTAATCAATCTCCAGCAGGCCCTTAACAGCCCTCAGACAATCCCTAATCAGTCACCAGCAGACCCCCTAACAGCCCTCAGACAATCCTTAATCAGTCACCAGCAGGCCCTCCTAACAGCCCTCGGACAATCCCTAATCAGTCACCAGCAGACCCCCTAACAGCCCTCAGACAATCCCTAATCAGTCACCAGCAGGCCCCCCTAACAGCCCTCAGACAATCCCTAATCAGTCACCAGCAGACCCTAACAGCCCTCAGACAATCCCTAATCAGTCACCAGCAGGCCCCCTAACAGCCCCCCTTAATATCCCTCTAATAACCTCTTAACAGCCTGCTAACAGCCTCTCTCCACCAGTGCTGTGAGTGCTGGTCCACTCCTTGCCTGTTGCTGGGCACCACCCTCAGATGATTCCACCTGGGTCCGGACCGTCAGTCTGCAGTGAGTCCCAGGGCACGCCTGGAATGTCTTCTTGCTGCCTGGAATGTCTTGTTGCTGCCTGGAATGTCTTCTTGCTGCCTGGAATGCCTTGTTGCTGCCTGGAATGTCTTCTTGCTGCCTGGAATGTCTTCTTGCTGCCTGGAATGTCTTCTTGCTGCCTGGAATGTCTTCTTGCTGCCTGGAATGTCTTCTTGCTGCCTGGAATGTCTTGTTGTTGCCTGGAATGTCTTGTTGCTGCCTGGAATGTCTTGTTGCTGCCTGGAATGTCTTCTTGCTGCCTGGAATGTCTTGTTGCTGCCTGGAATGTCTTCTTGCTGCCTGGAATGTCTTGTTGCTGCCTGGAATGCCTCGTTGCTGCCTGGAATGTCTTGTTGCTGCCTGGAATGCCTCGTTGCTGCCTGGAATGTCTTCTTGCTGCCTGGAATGCCTTGTTGCTGCCTGGAATGTCTTGTTGTTGCTGCCTGGAATGTCTTGTTGTTGCTGCCTGGAATGTCTTGTTGTTGCCTGGAATGTCTTCTTGCTGCCTGGAATGTCTTGTTGTTGCTGCCTGGAATGTCTTGTTGTTGCTGCCTGGAATGTCTTCTTGCTGCCTGGAATGCCTCGTTGCTGCCTGGAATGTCTTCTTGCTGCCTGGAATGCCTTGTTGCTGCCTGGAATGTCTTCTTGCTGCCTGGAATGCCTTGTTGCTGCCTGGAATGTCTTGTTGCTGCCTGGAATGCCTTGTTGCTGCCTGGAATGAGTTATTGACTGGAATGGTTTTCTTCCTGGAATGTCTTAGTTCTGGAATGTCAAATTGTCTTGAATAAGTCTTAGGGTCATGCATGGAATGTCATCACCTGGAGACAGCTCTTGTCTTCAGCTGGAATGTATGTTTCCTGGAGCTAGTTCGTGTACTTCTGGAATGATGGCGTTTGGAATGTCTTCATGCTTAGACTGCTGTTTTGCATGGAATGCTTCATAATAATTTATTTATTATTTATGGTATAATTTATGGTATAATTTATTTATTTTTAATACATAATTTGTCTTCTCTTAAGGCTTATAAACAATATAAAGCATTGCAACCTTTCTTCTAGATGTAAGTTCTTGATGATCCGATGTCTTAGTGAATTGAATGTCTCAGACTTGAGAGTCTTAGATAGACAGGATGGTCTTAACTACTTATTTCCTAAAAAGCTTGATAAATTTAGTAGTTTCATCATACTAATTTCTGAACGTAACTATTTTAATTTAAAATCCTTTTAATTTTCCTGGAAATGTGTGAGATTTTTAATGCCTTAATTTCTTAAAATGGTTAGAGATTTTCAATGCCTTAATTTCCTGAAATTATTTCAAATTTTCAATGCCTTAATTTCCTGAAATTTAGGAATTCTTAAAACGACTTGGTTAAGAAAATGTTATTTTGACACATTGTATTACAATTCACATTATGTTTTTAATTCATTTTTTTTTTATTTTAATTAAAATTCACATTTTAATTTTTTAATTCACAAATTAAATCATTCCAGCTACATATATGACTAAAATTATGTATTTCTTCCTGGAACACTTCAATCCCTTGTCCCAAAACCTGGTCCAAATGCCCTGAAAAAAAAAATATCAAAACCAAAATGTATTCAAAACAGGTTCGTTGATCCGCTCCTCGGGGGGGGGGGGAGGGGGGGGTTGTTATAGAGGTTGTTATTACTATAGAGTGATATATTGGTTGTTATGTATAGAGCTGTTATTACTTATTGATTGTCTGTGGGGTTTGTTTACTTACAGCTGGTGCTGTGGCAATTGTAGCTTGTTTACTGCTTCCTGTCTGCTGTTTGGTGCCTCTTGTGTGTGTGTGTGTGTGTGCTCTCTGCTGCTGAAGTTCTTCTTGTTTGTTCTTGTTGCTGTAGTGGTTGTATTGTCTCTGTTGCTGTAGTGGTTGTATTGTCTCTGTTGCTGTAGTGGTTGTATTGTCACTGTTACTGTAGTGGTTGTATTGTCACTGTTACTGTAGTGGTTGTATTGTCACTGTTACTGTAGTGGTTGTATTGTCTGTTGCTGTAGTGGTTGTATTGTCTCTGTTGCTGTAGTGGTTGTATTGTCTCTGTTGCTGTAGTGGTTGTATTGTCACTGTTACTGTAGTGGTTGTATTGTCACTGTTACTGTAGTGGTTGTATTGTCTCTGTTGCTGTAGTGGTTGTATTGTTACTGTTGCTGTAGTGGTTGTATTGTCTCTGTTGCTGTAGTGGTTGTATTGTCACTGTTACTGTAGTGGTTGTATTGTCTCTGTTGTTGTAGTGGTTGTATTGTCTCTGTTGTTGTAGTGGTTGTATTGTCTCTGTTGTTGTAGTGGTTGTATTGTCTCTGTTGCTGTAGTTGTTGTATTGTCACTGTTACTGTAGTGGTTGTATTGTCACTGTTACTGTAGTGGTTGTATTGTCTCTGTTGTTGTAGTGGTTGTATTGTCACTGTTGCTGTAGTGGTTGTATTGTCACTGTTGATGTAGTGGTTGTATTGTCACTGTTACTGTAGTGGTTGTATTGTCACTGTTACTGTAGTGGTTGTATTGTCACTGTTACTGTAGTGGTTGTATTGTCTCTGTTGCTGTAGTGGTTGTATTGTCACTGTTACTGTAGTGGTTGTATTGTCTCTGTTGCTGTAGTGGTTGTATTGTTACTGTTACTGTAGTGGTTGTATTGTCTCTGTTGCTGTAGTGGTTGTATTGTCACTGTTACTGTAGTGGTTGTATTGTCTCTGTTGTTGTAGTGGTTGTATTGTCACTGTTGCTGTAGTGGTTGTATTGTCACTGTTGATGTAGTGGTTGTATTGTCACTGTTACTGTAGTGGTTGTATTGTCACTGTTACTGTAGTGGTTGTATTGTCTCTGTTGCTGTAGTGGTTGTATTGTCACTGTTGCTGTAGTGGTTGTATTGTCACTGTTGCTGTAGTGGTTGTATTGTCTGTTGTTGTAGTGGTTGTATTGTCTCTGTTGCTGTAGTGGTTGTATTGTCTGTTGTTGTAGTTTTTGTATTGTCTCTGTTGCTGTAGTGGTTGTATTGTCTCTGTTGTTGTAGTGGTTGTATTGTCTACTGTTGCTGTAGTGGTTGTATTGTCTACTGTTGTTGTAGTGGTTGTATTGTCTACTGTTGCTGTAGTGGTTGTATTGTCTCTCTGTTGTTGTAGTGGTTGTATTGTCTACTGTTGCTGTAGTGGTTGTATTGTTACTGTTGCTGTAGTGGTTGTATTGTTACTGTTGCTGTAGTGGTTGTACTGTTACTGTTGCTGTAGTGGTTGTATTGTCTCTGTTGTTGTAGTGGTTGTATTGTCTGTTGTTGTAGTTTTTGTATTGTCTACTGTTGCTGTAGTGGTTGTATTGTCTCTGTTGTTGTAGTGGTTGTATTGTCTCTGTTGTTGTAGTTTTTGTATTGTCTCTGTTGCTGTAGTGGTTGTATTGTCTCTCTGTTGTTGTAGTGGTTGTATTGTCTACTGTTGCTGTAGTGGTTGTATTGTCTCTGTTGCTGTAGTGGTTGTATTGTCTCTCTGTTGTTGTAGTGGTTGTATTGTCTACTGTTGCTGTAGTGGTTGTATTGTCTCTCTGTTGTTGTAGTGGTTGTATTGTCTACTGTTGCTGTAGTGGTTGTATTGTCTCTCTGTTGCTGTAGTGGTTGTATTGTCTCTCTGTTGCTGTAGTGGTTGTATTCTCTCTGTTACTGTAGTGGTTGTATTCTCTCTCTGTTGCTGTAGTGGTTGTATTGTCTCTCTGTTGCTGTAGTGCTTGTATTCTCTCTCTGTTGCTGTAGTGGTTGTATTGTCTCTCTGTTGCTGTAGTGCTTGTATTCTCTCTCTGTTGCTGTAGTGGTTGTATTGTCTCTCTGTTGCTGTAGTGGTTGTATTCTCTCTCTGTTACTATAGTGGTTGTATTCTCTCTCTGTTGCTGTAGTGGTTGTATTGTCTCTCTGTTGCTGTAGTGCTTGTATTCTCACTCTGTTGTAGTGCTTGTATTCTCTCTCTCTGTTGCTGTAGTGGTTGTATTGTCTACTGTTGCTGTAGTGGTTGTATTGTCTCTCTGTTGCTGTAGTGGTTGTATTGTCTCTCTGTTGCTGTAGTGCTTGTATTCTCACTCTGTTGTAGTGCTTGTATTCTCTCTGTTACTGTAGTGGTTGTATTCTCTCACTGTTCCTGTAGTCCTTGTATTCTTCATTGCAATGCTTGTTGCTGCTTGTTATATGCCCCTGTTGGCCGGGCATGTGTGTGGTATAGCTTCAGAATGGCCATTAGAAGCTTGGCGCCACTTTGAATTTTGAATCCAGACGCACCGTTTTCTAACAGTCTCGTGAGAACTATTTTTCGAACTCATTTGAACAACAACTCTTCAGTGGCGGTTTTGTGAACTGCTTCCCTCTCTGCATTCTTATTTGTTACGTAAATTAGCTGTTCTTTTGTTCCTCAAACTTGCTATAACCGCATTCTCTCTGGTATCGAGTAATTTTCTTTGAAGGAGTTGAACCCAGATAGCCAGGGGCTTCATGCACCTTAGCATATCCAGTACTAATGTTCAAAAGAATAGGAAGTCGTTAGACCCTTAACCCGACAGCACTCAGTGGTCAATTTTGGGTACAGATAATTCATCAAATCATCTAACAAGTTTGGCCCTACGTGAGTAACTCATTTGCGAAAACGCTTGAATGGTTCCCCAAGCCAATATGCCACCGAAACCTCCTCATCCCTGATGAAGGATTAGACTTATCTCTAATATTCAATATCGTCATCCTAATCTCGTGTATAATAATCATATTCAGTGCTTATATCAAATACAGATATACAGAATTCGTATAGTACTCATCCCCCCAGTACTGGGGGTACTTTTCCCCCCAGTATTGATATCCAATATGAAATCCGATATAAAAAAATGGTAATTCTTTTATGTAATTTTAAAATCCCGTTCTGTTATCCCATAAATATATTTAAAGACATCCCACTATCCTTATCCAAAGCGCTTATATCCAAGATACTGGAATATTCTTTAAT